ATACATACATACATACATACATACATACATACATACATACATACATACATTTGTGTGTGTGAGATCTCTCTCTCTCTCTCTCTCTCTCTCTCTCTCTCTCTCTCTCTCTCTGTGCGTTCCAACATAACTATGGAACGCTTCGAGCAATTTCAACCAAACTTGGTACACAAATGACTTATTCTCTGGAAACAAATACTGTGGGGGTTAAGACACTCCTAGAACCCCTTGGAGTGTGTGTTCTGTTAAGATACGGCCTGTTGTGCCTTAAAATGGCTTCTACCGTACTGTCGTAAAATGGCTTCTATTGTGCAGGGCAGTGCAGTTGCCATGGTAACGGCTTCACAGTAAGGAGGAAAGGGGGCTCCCTCTAGTAAGGAGGAAAATCCAACATTAGAAATTACATTTGGTCCAGACATTTTCCCCCTATAAATAAATACCTGGGCAACATCGGGTTATTGGCTAGTAGTTCATATATGAGGATTAAGAGTTTTCCCCTTTCTCTTTATAGCAAACTTGGATTCAAATTGGGCCTCCTTGCCACCGTGTTTAAAACAGGCCAAGAAGGCCAGAACACGGATTCCCTGATCTAATTTACATTTCAGATCCTATTAAAATATTATTTTATCCACACGAAGGCTGCCCACCTTTTGGCGGGGAAGAGATTCTATGTCAGAGCCATACTACTGGACAGTAACGCATTATACAGATGCCTTGATGAATGAGATTAACAAGCAATTGTCTGTGATTAACTGGCAAATGTGACATGCTGCAAGTTCTTATATCACCTTATATATGCTGACTTTTAGGGGGCTAATTATACAGCACAAAAAGATTAAAACAATTGCAATCACTGTTACAGCTGTCCCAAGCTGAAAAGAGCTGTTTGAAATGAAAAAGATCCCCGAAGTGGAACAAGTCTCTCTTCCAAAGATTCAATAGGACTTGGTGTTTGTTAATATGATTTATTGCATTAAGGATTCTCTGTCTTCACTGTGAGTTGTATTGTGTTGGGGGACGCACTGAGGGAGCTCAAACAATCTCATTGTATATATGTTGTGCACTGACAAATAAATTATTATTATTATTTCTTTTATATTATCATCATTATCATTGTCATTTCTGCTTTAGGAACCGCACAGGAGAAGACCTTATTCTACGTGCACCCCACAAATGGATGTCAAACAAGAAGGATATATTTCAGGTGGCCCTAATGTGCAGGCAAATTCACATCAAGATTGAAAGTCTCTCGGAGAATTAGGTCCTATGTTGTTCAGGGCTTTAAAAGAACCCTTACATTGTGTTCAGAAATTAAACCAACACCTTACATTGTGTTCAGAAAACAGCTGACAAGCGACATGGGAAAAACATGCTCTCTGAATTATGCACCACTAAGCAGGCTAGTTGCTACAATTATTTTTTTAATCAAGGGAAGCTTGAAACCAGTTCTCGGGGATACCCCTGTATGGATATTAAACTTTCTGAAAATTTGCTGAAAGTTTAAGTAGTCATGAGGGGCATTCAGTTAGGATTCCCCAGCCCCGGCGCTAAGGCAGAGGAACAAAGTAATCCAGCTGCTTTGAAAGAACAGGAGATTGAACTGAAAATGCAAGGACAAGAACGGAAGGTATTGTTCCAGTGAGGGAGGTCTCTGGCTGCAGGGATGCTGGCGAAAGTGTCTGGAGTGCTGACTCAGAGAGTGCCTGGTGGCCGGCGACTGAACTTTGGCCCCTTTGTTTCCTCCTCCTTCCTGCCCAAAACCTCTCCGGCTTTCCAGAGGGAGGAGAATCCCAGCTCCTCAAGTCTTTGATTGGTTCAGAAAGTCAAGTCTAGCCCAGAATAAAAGGTAAGAGGGAGCATCTTGTCAGCCGGCCTGCCATCCTTCAGCATGAGCACCTTGGCCTTGTACCGCGGCATCTACACCCAAGAGAGCTTCCAAGAAGTCTATGGGGTGCCCCTGGAGCCGGAGAGCAGCCTAGCAGGGATGGTGAAGGGCAGGCTGAGCCGCTGCTGCCGCTGCTCCAAATCAGCAGCCTTGCACTTATTTAGAAGCAGGCTGCCTATTGCAAGTTGGCTGCCCAAGTACCAGCCAAAGAAATGGCTTTTGGGGGACCTGGTGTCGGGGTTAACTGTGGGCGTTGTACACATCCCTCAAGGTGAGTTTGTATGTGGGTGTCTGCGGGTGTGCAGGGGTGCAATTAGTTGCAGGGTTATGCAACAGAAGGTGAACAAAAGACTTTAACTTGGGAGCTCGTAGTCATGTGCCCAAGACTTTTGCAGCCTGAACAGGAGCAGCAATTCTTTCCTTTTGGAAAAGTCTATTGAACTGCAGAACGAAAACAGGAAAATTTAGGGATGGGCAAACGATACCCTTGACTTTGACCTGTTTCTGTTCCATACTCCATTGAACTCTCTTTCTCTCTCTTCCTCCATAGATTTTTGTTGCCCCAAAATCAGTCTCAAATGTTTTATTTCTGTTTTCCTCACAAGCCTGACAGGAATGCCTTATTGCTGACCTCCATTTTTGGGGAGGGGAAAAATATTTCTCTCGTTCTCCCTCTCCCACACCTGTAGATTCTGAGAGCTTCCCCACTTCTATGGGGCAGGAAGATTTCTACTTTCTTGTGCTTCCACACTACTCTTCTGTTCTTCTTAAGGTCTGGTCTCCGCTCTCCTTTCTACTTGGATTTTGATTGCTGGGTCTGCCTGCCTGATGTTCCCTGACTCCATGCACAGGGTCCCAAATCCAGCTGTCTTCCTTGTAATTCAAATCTCTGCTGTTCTTCTAACCCCCTCTCTCTTTTTACCTCTCTTTGCTTCTTCCCCTTATGGAATTTTTTATAGGTAGCTTCTCTCTGCAGACTTTATAACCATTGTCTAGTTTTGGATGGCTGCCTTTTTCTGCACACTTACCAGGGAGGAAGCCTTATGGGTCTCCGTTGTCTAAGAAAGTGCAGACAGGGTGACTAGTCAGTCTTTGCTCCAAAGATAGGTTATATTTCGTCTCTGTTGGGAATTGAGAGATTGCAGTTATCCAGCACAAGAGATAAAAGCAAAGTAAAACAAGGAGGCACAGTGCCTAGATGGTTTTTTGCTTTAGACTGGGCTTATGCCATGCTTGCCCTCCTGTTTGCTTTTGCCAGCCCAGCCTTTGGCAAGGCACCTGAGCTGGCATTAAAGCCGTGCACACTGCCAAGTCTCTAGCCAAGACTGCTGTTGCATGTCGTCCTCAAACTGTTGACAGAGAGAAACAAAGAGGCTTTGCCAGTCATTCATAGGTCCCAACAAAGAAGATTGGAGGTGCTTTGAGCAAACCTTGAGTGGCGTGAGAGAAGTTATTTTCCTGTTAAGATGTGACATTCAAAATCCTGCATTTCTGTTTCCAGAGGGTGGGTGGTTGTTTACATGAAGCAATGCAAAGCTTTCAACACGTTAAAAATATAAAGGCTCATTATCATTTAAACTTCCAGAGACTAGAGCCCAATTCTTTACCAGAATGGAAGCAATATAATAATTAAAGCAGAATGATGAGTGCCTTTCCAGAAAATAAGAGAATACATTTCCCACCAAAGTTTTGAACAGATCATACAGGAAATTGTGTTCACACTCCTTGCATTGGGATGGGAATCGGTGGGAAACACTTGATGTGGTTATAGAATATTTCATTTATATCTATGAAATTTGGAAAGTAACCTTGGATAACATTGTCTCAAAGGTTTACTCTTCAGCTAAGTAATTTTTTTCAAGAAGTGCCATGGGGTGATATTTCTTATCTGAATGTCAGGAATGGAAACCCTATAAATGTTTCTCTATTATCGAGAAGCCATGCTGCCGCCGTACTGAATCTAAATATTTGTGGGTTGTGGATTCTCAGTACAAGAGTGAGAAAAATGTTCTGCATGTGGACAAAGGTAGGAAAATGTTGTGTTCAATTGAAGTAGTTGAACACCTGGATACTGTGGACGTCAATTCCTCTCATCAACCAGAACAGCCAATGACAAGGAATAATGGGAGTTGTAGTGCTATATCCCTGTGTACTGCAGGTTGCATGCTCCTGCATTAGGTTATTGTTCTGTCAATGTTTTATCCAAGATTAAGTCCTATATTATTGGAAAAGTGAAATAATTTATTGTCACTCAGAGTTGGCTCTTATCTTCTCTACCCAGTTGTAATAGGAAGGGCAGAAGATGGAGCTAAGGCCTTCTGTCCCTACTGTTACCTCAGAGAGGTTCCACCACAAATGCGCGAACGATAAAAGCGCGCCTGACTAAACTGCGGTGACAAAACCGCGCCGACAACCGCACGACGAAGGAGCGACGAATGAGCCCTGAAGCGTGCTGACAACAGCACGCCGACAGAAGCGCGCTGTAACCTAACCCTAAACCTAACCCTAACCCTAAACCTAACCCTAACCCTAAA